ATGGCACAGGGCCAGCCCCCCTGCGCGTTGCCTCTCCCAGGACTTCCCCCCCCTCCTGGCTGCAGGGAAGCAATGCTCCAGGTAAGGCACCGGAAAGGGAATGGGAAATGGAAAGGGCAGGGTTTGGAATTTGGCGCCCAATGCAACTTGGTGCCCTAGGCGGCTGCCTAGTTTGCCTATAGGCACGGGCCACCCCTGGGTTAGGCGCTGGGTTCAAGCTCTGGGCTGGTGCAGGCTCTGGAAGGGAGCAGGTACGGGATATGACACTTAACTGGGGCAGCTCCCTTAAGTGACCTGCACTCCTCTCTGACACCTCTGCAGGCACCACTTCCACAGCTCCCATTGACTGCAAGGGGGCTCAAGGTGCTTTAGCCCAATTCCCCTATGTGGTATTGGGGGATCCCACACCCTTTTAGTTGAGCAGGGGGCAGCAGGCAAGGCTAGGGAATGCACCAGGGAAGACGCACCAGCCCCAAACTGTGGTGGAGCCAGGCTCCCCGGGGCCAGGCATCTTCCTGGAGCCTGGGCACTATGGGCCCATATAACTCACTGAACCCTTCAGGTTGCTGCTTATAGTCTCAGTACAGGCTGCTGCTGGTGCAGTTTGTAAGCTATAGTTAGTGTGCAGCCTGTTGCTGTCTTCTTCAGGCTGCTGTTAGTTATTACCCATTCAGTTCCACACAGCATGTCTCTTATAGGCATACTAGAAGATTTACCTGGCATTGCTTAGGTCCTTAACTCAATTATTTTTTGATTTTTTTTAAATAAAATAAGCGCACATGCTTCATTTAAATCATTGCTCTGGGGGTGGGGCAGAGGATGAGGGGTTCAGCATGCAGGCTGCCCCTGGAAGAGGACTACCTCAGCCCACTCTCACCATAGCAACTTGGGACCAGGTGAGAAGCACCACTCCATGGCTACTGCAGCTTCAGTAGGCACAGCTGTGGCAGGTCCAGGCAAAATGAGGAATGCAGCAAACTGCACTTTTCCCCTGATGAAGGGGAACAGCCAATAATATCCCTGTAGGACTCAAGGGTTGTGTCTACACTCACGGCTTCTTGAGCAAGTACAGCCGTTCTTGCGCAAGAATCTGCAGAGCGTCCACACTGCCCGCCTGCTCTTGCGCAAGGAAATTTACAGTACGGCGTGGTAAGAGAGGGCTTCTTGTGCAAGAGCTACGCTCTTTTTTATCAGGTGTAAGCCCTCTTGTGCAGGAGCTCTTGCACAAGAAAACCCTATGGCTAAAATGGCCATCAGAGCTTTCTTGCGCAAAAGAGCATCTCACACATGGCAGTGTGGATGTTTTCTTGCGTAAGACTTCTTGCAAAAGAACCTTTGCGCAAGCC